TATATATATATATATATATATATATATATATATATATATATTTGTGTGTGTGTATATGTATATATATATTTTTTCCCCCCATGGGGTCTGACTGCACTGATTTTTATTCCTAAAGCAACTGCCACACCAACATTTCCTTTCTGCTTTCTAGTGCAGTTCCATTGCCGGAGTCAGTAGACGGGGAGGCTGTACGGACTCTTGCACCGGTCGCCCTGCGAGGTTTTCCTTCATGGCGGTGGGGGGGGTGTGTGTGTGGCGTGGGTGTGTGTGGCTGTGCACAAGGAAGCCTCCGGCTCCATGGATGCGCCTGGCTCAGGCTCACTCCTGTTTCTGTGCAGTGTTAGACAAATCAACCGGGTTACGCCATTGACATTTGCTTCCACAAGGTAGACGCATACTGCCCCTTTGAGATCACAGGCATCCATCGTTTGCAGTTAGGTTGCAAATCTCTGTCTTTAACTCTAGTACTGTTTTTAGTTCATGACTATGGACAACTGGTGCCACTTTTTTCAAATTTCGGTGTGACACAGGAATCCGCTGTTGGAGATGAACCTAGAATGTCTTTAAGCACTTAAAATGCTGTTCACACTTTATTGCTGAGCATCCTGGTCTAACACTCAGTACGTACTGTATCTCACTATAATCTGCTTGGAAAGCAACAACAACAAACAAACAAACAAATCTCTTCAACACTGTAACTACATGCAACTATGTAAAGTTTTCTCACAGGCAAGATGCTGAAAGTTTTAATGTGGTTTCAAAGGGATGAATGTGAATTATTGAACTAGTATGTGACAGTCATTGTCCACAAAGGACTACTTAATAGGAGGCACTTTTTAAACTTTAATGCTTGAGAAAGAGTTAAAGGCATATGCGAGCTGACAGATAATAAAAAAAATAAGAGAAAGGAAAAAGGAAAGAGGAAAAAAAAAATCATTGTCCAGTGTTTTTGAAAAAGATGGACTTTAAAGAATCTTGCAATTTGCACATCTTGAGTTTATCATTTGTGTGGTATTCCTGCAGTTTTTACCTAATAATGTTGTGGGTTGGGGGGGTCTGAAAGAGCATAAACAAATGTAGCAATTACTCACTAACCTGCCTACGCTATAGGCCATTTCATAGGGTTACGTTCCTTTCAAAGTTCATTTTTGGTCTTTTTACCATATCTGCCACACAAAACCAGGTCCTACCGGGACAGCTCTGAGAATTTTTCTTCAGACTTGCTGAGAGAATTTTCCACAAGAAACATTTCTATAAGTAAGCAAGATGTTTGTTTGTTTTGAAAACAAACCTATTGTTATTTTATTATTATTATTATTTGTTATTTTAATTGCATTGTTTTCCATTGGAAAGGCGACATTTCAAGAGTTTGGTACAAACCAAGTAGGCTGGGGAGGGGATTCATGCCGTTGAGTCTTTTCTTTCCCCAGGTAGGGCCGGATCCTTTGAGGTGCTGTGCACCCAGCCTCCTGCATGAGCCTCGGGGAGGTGCAAGTATGAAGTACTTCGGGGCTGAGTGCTAAAGCCTGTTGCTGCCACTAGAAAGAGCCTTTTGATTTCAGTGGGATTGCGCTTGGGCCCTGCGTGAGCAAGCGTTTGTGTCGTTGTTTTTGGCTGGCGAGTTCGCATCCTTCAGGTAGTTTTGAAGAAGCTGTACTGATAGGGAGAAAAGGAAATAAAAGTCCATCATTAGAAACGCAGTAACCTAAAGTGAACAAATTTATTTAAAATCTCATTTTCCCGCTCCCCTAAACTACAGTGATTTTATTTAAGAGAAGAAATGTTAACCCCAAACCCCAGCTTTGACTCTGTTATTTGTTACTTGAAGTTTAGCTCACACCAGAACTAATTGTTTTTATACCATATTCTGGGGTGCACCAAAAAGTTGAAATACGTTTAAAATAGCTTGAAACTTTTCTTGGATTTCCTTGAATTTTATTAACCTCTCGGCGGGCTACCAAATAGCTGAGTGGGTTTCTTCTCACAGTCACACTGCTTAGTTAGTGCTTATTTGTTAATATTTCTGCTCAGAGAAGTTGCTTAATCTTCCATATACTCTGCTCAGGGCACTTGCAATTTATTGTTTCGTTTTGTTTCCTGTTTTGTTTTTATGCTTTGATGGTAAAGGAATAGAAAGAATTACAGATTTTAGTTCACAGTCGTACCACTAGTTCCATACTTAATGTGTACTTGGAAAAAAAAAAATCTCAAGTAAAACCATACACATACATACACATTTGTGGTTAATAAGGAAGCAGGGGCTATTAAACTGACTGGATCTATTCAACTAACACTAAAAAAAATAAAAAATAATAATAATAAAAAAATACGTTTGGAGCAATAGGAATGTATTAGTTCTGTGCTTGTATTTCAGACTGAGGAATTCTGAAATAACTGGTTCTTTCCAAACAATTGTCCCTTTCCATGCTTTCTTTGGCTTTTGTAGGATGTGCAATACTTTACGTGCCAACTTAGACTCACCCATGTGGTGTTAGCTAGATCTCATACCCACCTCTGATTTCCCCTTGTTTTGTTCTTTTTGGAAGTTTCTTTCTTTCCACTTTTTTTTTCCTCTTAATAATTCCCTCCCTCCACCCCCCC